CACACATACACACACAGAGAGAGAAACTTAAATACATGCTTGCAGCAAACACACCGCAGCACACTCACCACTTTATCTCTCACTTTCACAAACACAACTGTCTCTTCTGCCTTTCTCAAATCATATTCATGACTATGAGAACAATCACAAGAGCATTTGCATCACTGCGTGTCCTTTTCAGATGCATCTTTCCCCCATTCAAGGCATGTTTATGATGAGATAAGTCAGAGCACACCAGCATGGAAAGAAAAAAATCCTTTCCCCCATCTGTGCTCATTTTAGACTAAATATGAATTGGCCAAAGAGTCCACCAGTGGAAGCGTTTCCAGTGTCTGCTGGGCCGGGCTATTTGATTTGGACACGAGCTCTTGGCAGCCTGGAGTTTATACAGTAAATGAGAGTTTTGGCTGCAGCGGCCAGAAAACGAAAATTGGATGAGTTTCCTTCTTCTCCCTCATTCTCTCCCTCTTGGCACCCTGGCTAATGTTGTCTTTAGTTTTCAGCGCAGGTTTCATCTTGTTTTGGGGACATGTTGACTCTTGTGAGGCAGTGAGAAAGCAGGAGAAAGCTGAAAAATAAGAAAACCAAAGACATCATTAAATTCATTATGTGCATTTTCTACTATGGCAACTGCTGCAATTAGCATGGTAACCTTATGCAGAATCTCAAAGTGACACAGTACAACTATAATTTGATATTAGTGATACTGGCGCAGGAGCATATTAACATCTTCTTTTGTGCAGGTTGTTTGTGTGAGAAAAAAAAATCTAAAGGAAGCACTTCAGAAGTGAAATTTTTTTTTGAGTCTGAGTAATGAGGGAGATTTAAAACCGATCAATCTGTCTGTACAAAACACATGATTAGGTTTTCAATTCTGGGCTATATAAATACACTTAATTCTTAATATTATTATATAATAAATACATACAATTAAACAGATTGCTTATAATAATTGAAAAAATCTATATAGCACTTTTAAGAAACATATTACAAGGCCAAGACAACGCATATCAGAGTGAAATAAAATAAAAATCAGTATCAGTAAATCAATATTAATGCCAACTCATATTTTTTAAACAAAGTCAACTTTAACGTCTAACTATGTTTGTCTCCTTTTAATAGAGATAATGGTGCCCATCTCCCAACAATCTAAAAGGTGGGTTGTTAATCCTGTGCAGTCTTTTTAATCTCGACCGTAATGTCACTCTGCCTCATTAGTCTCCCATCAGCTTTTTCACCACCAATCAAATCTTCCCTTTGGGCCCACAATAGTTCACTGGCTTTGGACTATACTTTTATCCCTTGCAGCAGTTATACGTAAGGTGACATTTTGGACCTCTCTGATTAGAAACTCTGCCTGTGGAAAGGTTTAATCACTGCTGAGACATATTATAGTCGTGAATTATTAGAATTGTTTTTATTACGCTGTAGAACGATTGTCTAAAAAGCTTTAAAAACTGTCTGCGTTCGCACAGAAAAAGCAGCCACAGCCCTTTCCAATTGTCCAGTTTAAACATAATGATTACTGTAGCGCAATGCAAAATAGCAACAAGAGCCGCATCAGCAAAAACTTTGGCATGGGTCAGCTTCTCTTCATTGATAAATAAGGAAATGATGGAACCTTGGCCAGCACAAGTCAGTTATTAGTGGAGACACACAGGCATTGGTAACTGCTCTCAGCTGTTTTTTCTCTCAAAGTCTGACTAAAAACTCTCTGCAGGTTGCCATATAGTGCAACCCGAGTGAGAGCATTCAGGGTTTCTCCAATTAGCACTACTAAAGCTATAAGAAGAGAATGTGGTATGTGGCACACAGAAGTTGGATCACATTGACACAGTTTTAACTGTAGAATCATATCTGCTTTGAATCTTTTGGGGTTGTTTTTTTTTCTTTTGCCTTTGATCACATATGACATTGCAATGCAATCACAGCTCATTCACACACTGGCTTATGCAATATGATTAATGCTGGTGTTACATGATATTTTATATTCTTATATTTTGCTTTCTTTTCTTTGATCCTGGTAACCTTTATGACACAAGGCTTGCTCTGATTAAAAACTTATTCCAGACGTCCCATTTTCAAACCTTCCCATTTCTTTCTCTTGACAAGGTCTGAGCCCACAGGGTAAATTATTTTTGAAACTGAAATTATTAAGCATCATTTATTGTTTTGGAATAAATTCTCTGGGATTGAGCCACAAACATTTATGAAACTTTATTAATTACATTTAAAAGTGTGTGTAATTGAAAATGTGATATGACTTTAGAAGCTAAGCTGAATAAAAAAAAAGAAAGGAAGAAAGGAGAACTTATAAGACAGAATTCAAAGATGCTTGTTATGTGGCCAATGGAAGTATTTATCAGTGTTAAGGCAGAATAAGACTAATCTTTGCTAAAACAACAGGGTTCTAGCACCTGTGGTGCTTAGAACCTTTGAAGAAAATGTACCTGTGTAACTCTGAACTACTGCATCCTTATGGCAGTAGACCCTACATGGTCGAAATATCCCACTCAGCAGTTCTGAAAATACCTTGTACCAATAATTACAGACAAATGGGATGACAGGGACGTTCAGGATTGAACGAGCACACTCAGTCATTCAAACTGTACCAACAATTACAGCCTACAGTGTAACCACAAAATATATTTCTCATCACATCAGGTTTTGTGCCTGAAAAGAGTTTAACACTGCACTCCTATGAAAACATTGATGCAACAGAACCAGAGATATAATCTTTTTTACCCCACATTTCCTTGTCAAAACCTTGCACTTGCAGTACATTACCTATAATTCAACTTGGCTGCTGACATTTTCAACTTGGGTCAGAAAATTCGGGTGTGTTATGCTACTAGTAGCTAATGTGGACTTGAGCCACTCATGCAGGGATGAGGAGCAGGCTACGAAAGGTCTGTTTGCTTGCGGGTTTTTAACTTCACACACCAGGAATTCTTTCATTTTCAGACTTCAGCCCCAACCACCGCTGACTCAAGTGACATCACTTGAGGCAATTTATCAGACTTGGCATAGATCCCTCTGGAGCCACAAAAGGTTTTATACAACTTGTTTTCACATATGCAGTGGTATTCCCCAAGACCTGTAAGCAGGCTTGTAACACTGAGTTCCCCTTTAAGATGTTAGGATTGTTTGGTCCTAGCTGTCACACAGTTTTAGAGAAAGCATGTCTCATACAAATAAACTGTGAATTTTCTTCATACAATATTCACTTAATTACAGCCTCAGATATACTCTAATTATGCAAGTACACATTTCCATAAGGATCTGATAATATAAGGATAATTTTGATGTTTAGGTCTGGATTCTATTTTTCCTAAAAGTCTCTCTATGGCCCTTTTTGTGTTTTTAGCATTCTCACATTAAATCAAATAAACGTCTAAATGTCAGCTTTGTTGTTGTTTGTTGATTTTATTTTGGTTCCGCCCAACTCCTCCTAGCAACACAACTGAGTATTAAAAGCTAAAAGCGGAGCCATAAACATATGGCACTGCTTTCCAAGAGCGACACAACCAACATTTTATAACTTTTTTTTTCTTAGAAAAAGGCCACTTCACAGCGCTCAATCTAATCCAGCTAACATGTGGCCAGGAATGTGTTTTGGGGCCAAGCTATGTGTAATGACGCACATGTGTGAAAGGGCAAATCTAACCGTGGGGAGCTAAACGAGCAAGCTTTAGGTGGCCTGACCTTTGAACCAAACCATAGGCTGGTGTTAGGGAGCCACCTCTAATGAAGGGCTTCAGAGTGGAAACCGCTGTACCTCCTGTCATTTACAGAAATCACTCTTAAAATGAAAAACTGTCCGAGGGGAAAATTCTTTTTAAGCTTTTATTTACCCAGAGGAAGTTGTCTGAACACACATGTTCCTTTTCAGCAAACCCCTACTTAACACTTACACTTACACTTGGGAGCTGACCAGTCTTCTTCTTTTGGCCATTAGTCAACTCCACTGAGGCAGTGAAGAACCTCACTGAAGGTGGAGTTGTTGGAAGTACTGGCCATGTCCGGTATTTTAAACATTTTGTTACCAGCAAAAAGCCAAGCATAATTTAATAATTTAATCTCTAGTTTAATCAGGATCACTTTTCTTAATTAGTTTTTTTTTTTTTGCTTGTACCATTTTCATGAATATAGAGCATCTGTGTTCGGGCTGTTTTCTGTTCATTCATTAGCTTTTTGACAACTCTAAAAAATAAAAATGTCTGCCCATATTTGACCTATTAAATCGACACTTTCTCCCCATAACATGCTCAAATCAATAACATGGCGTGTATCTCTCTCTCTCCTTTTACACAGGTCTCTCTCGGCAACCACCCTCAGCTTTGCTGCCGTCGACAGCAGTACCGAACCGCTCGACCTACTATCGTCACCGGACTCTCCGTTGTTTATATTCACCCTTTCACGGCTACCACTGACCAGCAGCAGTCATGTCACACCCCCAGCTGGCCTTGGAGGACGTGGAGGCCCTGTGCTTCGGTTGGTGTTGCGATTACAAATGTTCCCAAAGCACTACTATAAACATTACTGAATACACAGCACTCTGTTTGGATAACAAGTTGTGAAAGTGTGGCAGATCCTGGACTCTGACTTTGACATCAAGAATAAAACGAAGATGACAATATTTTAGTCTCGAACCAGAAATGTGTGTTTTGATTGTATTTTTCTTGTTAATATTTTAGATCACCTCGTTTATTGAACCTTTTAATGTGTCTGAGATTATTTCTGTGTGGTATCAAACTTAGTTGGAACCGACCATTTGTGCCCAAACTTACAAACTTACCGAGGGAGTCTTTTGTCCACAGGGCCCTCGTTTCTGATGGCTGACCCCATGGGGCCCCTTCTGGACCAAGATGAAGAAGAAGCTCTTTCTCCCTCCTCCTCTCTAGAGGGGAAGGCGCCAGCTTCGCCCCCCCTCTCTTTCTCCTCCTACGCATCTTCCCTGTCTCCCTACCAGACCCTGTCGTTCTCCCCGCTCTCTTCTGCCTCCCCGCCTCCCTCTCCTCCTCCTCCCATCTCCTCGTTCCTGGGAACCAAGGCCGGAACAGACTCGCTGTCCCTCCCCTGGCTGGGTGCCAGCGACCTGCTCACCGCCCAAGTTGGAGCAGACGATGGCAAAGGTGAGAGCGAATTCAAATTCACGTGTATTAAATATTTTGGTGAGATGCAGAAAATGCACGAAGATAGACGAGGAAAAGGAAAAACACAGTAACTTTAAATGTTGCTGATGTACAAAGTAAAATCACATGCTCGGATAGAAGCGCATTCTTTGTGTCAGTGAGTTCGTTTGTGGTTTTAAAAAAAAAAGAAGGGCTTAAGATGTTGCCACCACAGTTTTAGAGGTGAAGTTGGGAATGTTAATTGCTTTCAGGCATGCTGTAAATATTTTGTGGGTGTTGGTAAAGCACTCAAGGTTGCCCTGCAGGCAGCGCGTCCTAGATGTTAAAAATTGGGTTATACTGAGTCACATTGTCTTATTTTTAAAAATGAGTGATTAAATAGTGCCACAGCGTAATGTAATCAAAATGAAAAATGCTGTAAAGGTTTCTGTCTTTCTCCAGATATTGCACACTTTGTCAAGCACTTAGATTAAAGGCACGAGTGAGTAATTGGTAGGTGTGGTGGGGCTGTGAAGAACATTTATTGGTTAGCAGCAGGCAGGTGTGGCTCGAGCGTGTAGAGGAGACCGCCTCAAACTGGTTTTGTTAAATGTTATTTCACAGTGACGTGTCGCTTTTTCTTGTTGCGATTTTCTCAGCGTGACACTCGCTGTGGCTGTTGGCGTCTGTTACAAGGTTCCTGGAGTTGGGATATACGATCTTGAGTGTTTTTATATTGGTCACAAAATCCTAACAATGCAAGGTGGCATCATTGATTAAATTAATGTCGTTTTGTGCTCTTGTATTCACTGATAGCCCAATTAAAAGGGCCTTTAAAAATGCCTGAAGCACTGCGTTGTATTCTGTCATTGTTCTGATCGAATATTAATGAAAGCATCCCCTTTCAGCAGATGATGCTTTCGCAGGCATGGACTGGATGTCAGAGAAAATCGACCTGAGTGAATTTGACCTGGATTCCCTCATCGGTTCCTGCTCCTCAGATGAGTCTCCCAGCTCCCCCGAGGATCTCCTGGCCTCCCTCGACTCCCACATGGACCTGGATCTAGATTCATTCGACGCAACCATCCCCGCCCCGCACGACAGCCTGGAGCTGGGTTTGTCGCTGCCCAGCATCCCCCCCCTCCCTCTGGAGCTCGCCCTGCCTGGGGCAGCTGAGGCCAAGAAGACAGAGGTGGCTCCTGATCAGGAGGTTGTTATGAAGTCTGAGCCACCCTCCCCAGCTCCCTCTCCCAAGCTCCCCCCTCTCCAGCCTACACATTGGAACTGGGGAGTGAAGTGGATGTCCTGGATGCAGAGAAAACGGCCACATCCCTCAAAGCAATCATTCCAGATTCCAGTGGAAGCATTCAGGCCACCAGCCCCATTGTGTTCACTCTTCCCACAGCTGCCCACATAGTGGTGGTGCTCGCCAACAAAGACGAGCCCCCCGTCATATCTCTCCCTGAGCAGCCTATTGAAAGCTCTCCTCCGAGCGACTGCGACAGCGACTCTGGCATCGAATCCGTCACAGGCTCACCGTCCCGCCTGCCCTCTCCCCCCACAGCTGGATCCTCCAGGACCAAACCCTACTCCAAACCAGAGCTCAACGCCACTTCCTCCCCCTCTGCCAAAACCCCCAAGGTCAAATCAGTGTCTGGTGCTCCCAAGGTGGAGAAGAAGCTGAAGAAGATGGAGCAGAACAAGACAGCAGCCACCCGCTACAGACAGAAGAAGAGGGTCGAGCAGGAGCTGCTCGGCACAGAGCTCGAAGGGCTAGAGAAGAGGAACCATGAGCTGACAGAGAAGGCGGAGTCCATCAGCCGAGAGATCCAGTACCTCAAGGACCTGATGGAGGAAGTCCGCAAGCACCGCCGTGGAAAGACCAGCTCAGTCGCTTAGTAACCAGATTGTGTGTGTGACGCGCAGTCTGCTGTTGCAGAGTAGTGACGGGTGTTGTTTCTGATCCAATACTCACATGCCATAGCAAAGTCCATTTGAGCATTAGAAATATATGTTGCAAGAGATTAAATAAGAATGGCGTGTGAGGGTGGATGTATGAAACTCACCACTGAACAGAATAGAGGGAATGGCTGGTTGCAAAGTGAAAAGCCTCTGGAAGTTGATAAGATTATTAGTGTAGAGCAGGGGGCTGGGAGTTAGTCAGGTGAAGCATTTGTACATGCTTGTCTCTCAGTCCCCTGTTAGATCCCCATAATGTACTCCCTGATGTGCTCCTGTCTTACTAGCAGCCCTTGTACAAACAGGCAGGGTGTATATTTGTATTTGTAGACTAGGCATGTCAAACATGAGTCACCGTGTACACTTTTTTTGAAAAGATATTCCCTCACACTCCCAGCAGTCAATATCCAGATCCCAGCTTCTCCGCTTCAATAAACCCCAGTGTCAGTAAAGTGAGACACCATTTCTACCTTTTACCTGCTCCTCTTTAACCCAGTGTCACCCATTTTGACCTTCCTCTTAACAGCTTCAAGTCCAGAAAGGGGCCTCAGCCTATATGAATTCTTGATGTTACACTGTCAACATTTTTTATTTTTTTTATTTTTTTTGTGTGTATATAGTTTTCACCTCCTTCGCTTGCCGATGGTGGCTTTTGTTATTTAATGCTGGATAAAACCGGATCATTTCTTGAGTAGCTCTGTCTCTTAGCACAGATGGTTGGCTTGTAAAAAAGCTTTTCTTTTCCTAATAAATATCTATCAGTGCTCAAGTGATTTGTGTGATGTGTTTTACTGATGGCAGAGAAACGGCGATCAAAGTGAATTTTTCATCAAGTATGTTTAGTTGTGTACACTAGAAACCACTTTAAGATTACAGCTTATGATTCTTTTCATGAATCTGATTTTTCTTCACCTAATAATTATACTATTAATAAAAGAGAGGGGAGAAAATTGAGAGCCCAAGGTGATATCTTAGATTGCTAATTTTATTCCAAACAGTTAAATAATGGTCTTAGGGCTCCTAAAATGTTAATCTAAAATGTATATAAAGCAGCAAATCCTTGGATTTGAAAAGGTAGAACCAACGTTTTTGCCAGACGTTTGACTGAAATGATTATAATATGAAATAAAATGATAAAATAAATGGGTATAATCTGTAAATCAAATGGGTGGGCCACCTAAATTGATGTAGGGAATCACTATTCCTGTATAGTTCATTGATGAAAGATTATCTGAAATATACGTTTGTTGATGCTGGTTTGTTTAATTTGGAGTAAAATTTTTTTAACAAAATAAATGGTTATAATAGGAACAATGGATATTTTTTTGTTGGAAGTCAAACTGATTTGTAAACATCAGTCATATCTCTTTCTCTCTCTCTCTACATACATAATATGTATGTAGTATATATATATATATATATATTATATACACACATTCATATATGTGTCATCGAGACGTTTTTTAGGGAAGTCCTATCGGAAGAGTAGTTCTGTACTAATATTTTAATAGTGATTAAATGATGGTGACATAAAGCTGGTTTATTGGTGTCAGGAAAATGGTTTGAATACAGCATTACATTTAAAAGAACAACTAATCCTGGTAGTCAGAAAATATTTTTAATTCTGCAGCAAGACAAGGCACCAATATAAACATGTTGACTTGTTCTTGAAGGCCGTTGTGTATCTTATTTATTCTCATATGTAATTCTTAAGCAGTTAATTTGCGTAGAGTTTCCCCTTACTTAACCTGGTAAACAAGTTCAAACTGGTACATTTTCAGCTGCAAATCACTGAAGTGAAGTGACTGCCTGGAGCTAAATCTGCAGCTTTCTATCAGGATATGAAAGAGACACCTGTAAGTTCCTTGTAATTGTGAAACCAGACTACAGTCTCACACCTTTCACAGGTGAGTGTTAAAGAGAAGGGGGTAGAAGGAAACACAACACGGGGGTTGAGTGCCACAGATGTGTATATCAACCATCCCTGATGTCTGTGGTCACAGAGACATATTATAGACATGAAAGTTGCTGATGACAGACGACCTATGTAACTGGTACCAAAGTGGCGCACAAGTTAACATAGTTTCTGTCGAAGTTGTGACAATTTTTAGTTGAGGTTTGGTTATGATTACAGTCATGCCTCTCAGGACAGAAAATAAGTCAGTGTAGTATTCCTGAAAGTGATACTAATGTGTGTGTGTGTTTCAGAGTCAGCCCGATGTGCTGACTACTGTCAAGCAGCTGTGTAAATTTAGTCTTGGCAGTAAAATCCCTTAAGCACATACGCAGAACACACATAGACAGAGAAACTCCTCACGGACAAATTCCTGAGAGTAGTGAGGCCTTGCTGAAAAGACCAAGATAAGAGGAGCACCCAGCCGTAGTCTGGGAGAAAGAGATAATACAGGCTGCTTTATTGTGACTTTGATATGTAGGCTACAAATGAGTCTTAAATTAGAAGATTAACAGTTCAATCTGAAATAATTGTTGATTAATTGTATGTGAATGTTCTCTAATCTCTTTTTTCTTAACTGTTATGAATGTAAGCTGTCTTTCACCCACTAATTATATCTGATCTTATTTCATACCAGTACATACACTACTTAGGTGTAACAAGAGTCAATTATACAGTAAAGTCACACATTAGTAATATATGCAGTATTAAAATAAATAAAATCTGTGTTTAAATACTTAGAACCTGACATGCTATCCCCTATAAATGATGTTTCCCACATTTACCTCTTTCCTTTTATTTATTGTACTCCATGGGAAGGGAGCTCTATTTACATGATCACAATTAATACTCTTAAGTATTATACTGGGGACCTATTCTGTTATTACATGGTATTGTATGACGTGCTGAGCACATGCATGTGAACTATCTATAGGATCATGTGAAAGGGCCACACACTTCTCAATGATGGATTTAGATGTCAGCACTGAACCTTTTCCTGGCAAACATTTTCACTTTGTTATAGCAGTTGTAACTAAGAAAATAAACATTGGCTTCATTCCATTTAAGAGTCTCAGGAAGCTGACTCAGCTACTGAGTATGCACATAAGCAGCCGCCATTATTAAGGTTATTGATTACACCTGCGCGTTACCTGCTGTGACTTGTCAAAATGCCTGCTGTATAAAAAGGTCCACTGGGATCAAAATGCTTTGCAACCTGTAAAGATGTATTATTCACCTTTGAGTGTTTTTCATTGATTGTAAAAGAGACGTTAGGTATATTTGTTCCACTTTGTAACGCAATATATGGATTTATTTAATACTGTCATTTTATGAGACTTAATATCTATGATCGAGGTTATATCACAGCATCTGGCTGAAAAAAAGGCTGAACTTAGGTGACTCTTACTCCAAACCTACCTACCTGCTTTAGCCAATGTTATCTAAAATATGATCCCATAACTGAGGGGTGAAAAATAACCAAAATTTGTTAATGCATGTCTAATCGGTAGGAACATGCTTCAGAGACAAGCTCCATCCTCACACGAGACATGACCTTAAGTATCTAGGGTAAAGCTGAGGTTTACATATGTGTGGAGTCCGGTTACTGTAAAAGAAACCTCAAACATGCTTCACAGACCTTGCAAAGGTTGAGGAGTTCAATTGAAAGCGCTATGGATCTATTTTAAAAAGTAAAAGTGTAGTCTAAAGTAAAGCAATCTTTACTAATGAAAGCTGACTGATGGGAAGAAACGTCTTTTTCAACCACATGAGCAGATCATGGGTGTGGTGGCTCCAAGCAAAGCAGCGCAGATTATTCTTGTCTTGTCACATTCCTCTGCCATCCATAGTAATCAGGATCATGACAGTTTCATTCAGTTCAGTTATCCACAGCGCAGTGACAGTGTGTCATTTTGTTGCACCCTTAAGCAGTTAGACACCAGACCAGAATCCGTGCAAGTCAGTGTGAGCAGTCACATGTCTTGGTTCATAAGGTTTTCATGACTGAGTTGGTCTGAACTAAAGCCTTGTTTTACAGACAACACAGGACAGGCCGCTCTGTAGTCGGTAAAACTCAAAGGCTTCTGTACATGGGAAAGGCCAGAGGGAGTGATACATGAATCACTCAATTAACACTCTTGACTCCCTGTGACGCTTATTTGTTATGCACACATATTTTTAAAAGGGCAAAACAGTCCATTATGAAGCGATGCCTGAAAAGTTCAGACAGGGCCTTGTGCTCTAAGATGTGCTATTGTTGCAAAGCCAAAGACTGGAAAATTAATTATCTATTATGACATTACTACTATTGGTATGAAGTGTGACTTAAGTGTTTTTTAATACAACATTTACACACTTAACAGTTTGACCTAGTTTAGTAGTTTGACATTTTGCAAAGTATACTTTTTCACTTTCATGCCAGGAGTTAGATGACAGGATTGATAGCATTCTCCTATCTGTTGGCTAATTATGAAGCTAACACAAGCAACCAGTTAGTTAATGTAGCATGAAGACTGAGGGAGGGCTAGCTGGCAAATTTTGCCTACCAGTACCCCTAAAACTCTCTAATTCAAACATTATCTCAGTTGTTTTTCCCCACACAAAACCAAAGTGCAAAAACACCAGGTAGTGAAATATAGGGGTGCGGGTAGACACATTTTGCCGCCTTCTGACAGAGCCAAGCTAGTTGTTTCCCTGTATTCAGTCTTAATGCTAAGCTAACTGTCTCCTTAATATTTAGATTTATTTACACTACAGTGGTATCAATCTTCTCATCAAACTCTAAGTATTCTTTTAAAACAGACAAAACATGTTAATTAAGCTCTATCAGAGACATGTCAGCCTCCAATTTGCTACTATATATGGTACATGTAGTTAAAAAACTAATGCTGTCCAATGTGAGAGCCCTGCAATCAATCATACCTATGTGAATGTTAATATGTTAAATTATTGGTTGAGACTGTTAAAAGGAGGTGTGGATTTAACTTTATGGTCGTTTTGAGGCTGTAGTTTGTGGTGCTCTTGAAAAGCGATATACTGAGAGGTGCTGACAAAATGTAACCACATTAAACAAAGGTATTATTGCAGGGCTCTTTCATTAGACTGCATTAGTTTTTGCTCGGTGTTCCTAACAAACTGGCAACTAAGTTTACATAGCATTAAACCCTCCTCGAATTTCTTTTCCTTCTTTGAAAAATCCCATCTGTTTTAACCTGTATAGGCCTGTAACCAACGCAAGTAAAACCGGCATTGAAAGGGTTCGAAGTGAATTGTCCCCTTTAGCAGCCTAAAGCGCTGACAGATACCGAGACAATCCTCAGCTGTATTTCAAATTACATTACTTGACTTGATGGCATTTGGCTCACCGAGGGGTGAAACCTAGTAAGGCTGTAAGGCTATTCATAGTTTCATAGTGTCTACTGTAAATCAGTGATAGCAGTCTGACACGTTCTAATATTCTGTCCTCGGGCTGTTCACGGGTCTGTCTATTCCTGGCAGATTTGAACTACCACACATGTACAGCACACGAGGGATAATCATGTATGAACTCCACCTGTGGATACTGTTATATATTGATGTGATACATTATGGATACAACTTAGAGGTGTTCAAGTGTTAAGTGTTTTTATTTATGAATGTGCTGTACTGTGGGATTTATCTTGTTCTGCAAGTGGTTACCACTTGTGTTGATACATTTATGATTTAAAGCAGCAAAGTATGTAGAGCTACATTGTAAATGTGCATTTCATGATAACCTTGATATTAGTTTACGCAGAAACAAAGGGCAGTCCTTGACCTTTCAACAACCAACATTCATTA